CTTGTCAAAAACAAAAATCCTTTTAATTTTTTTTTAAAGGAATGTGACATATTCAGAGTCTTCTCTTTAACAAATAAATATAATCCATACCAAGCTGCATGTGATATTGTAAAGCACTTAGTTTTCACCAAAATAATAGACAGGAAAGACTGATATTTCAGATTGGTTCATAACTGCATATTCATCAATATACTGTATCATCAAATAGTCCACCACAAATAGAATTTTCATATTATCTTGTCGTCCAGCACCGGAGGAGGAAAAAACTTAAACATGTAGCAGAGTTTCTAAAAAAACAGAACAGAGGCAATTGTACTCCATTCAGCAGAGCTTTACTGGTACTGAAGGCAAATGAGCATAAATGGTCACAAATCCAGTACATTCAGGATTGGCACAGTCCCTAAAAATCCAGTTGCAGCAAAAAACAATAAAACTTACAGACTAAACCGTATCACTACAGCATACGGATACAGAACACTAAAACAGACAGAAAACAGAAAGTGAGTGATACCCAGACTCCTCCTGGTCTTAGTATTACAGTCAACTTGACCTTGACAGAAAGGATAACAAAACCAGTTTAATCCAGCTGTATGCATCTTCCCAGAGAAATAACCCAAACATCAGAAACCTTCTTCCTGTTTCTCTCACATAGAAATAAACCTTCTTTCACAAAGAGAAAAAACCTTCTAGAACCCTTTTGAACTAATCAGAATAGGAAAGATCTCTACACATCAGATCAATACTTTCTGTACTAAGAAATGAAAACTGACATATTTCACATCACATTAAATGCTTTTTTCAAAGACACACATTTAGCTGCCAATCACGAAGAATACAGTAATTAGATAGACAAATACAGTGACAAAAATGCATGTGTGAACCAGGCCTCAGCAATGTAGCTAAGGGTGAATCCAACTTGTGCCCTTATAGGCACAGAAGGACTTTTGATCCAGCATAGGCATCTGCTTATGGAAGAAGAAAGATAGAAAACTGCAATTAGCATGAAATGTTGCCTGAGCAACCTTGCATTTCTTCCCCATATAGTGTTCAGAAGACACTTAACATTTTACTCAGTTATTTATGATTACTAGCGAGATATCCAGGGACATCTTAGCCATAGAGGCTAGTGGCACGGGGTGCCATGGCACCAAGTTCTGGAGGGCGCCAGGGAAGAGGCGGAGGCTGGATGCGGTGCCTCCTGGCATCAGTTCGCCGCCCTTGCCCGCCTCTGCCATGCCATGCCATGCCTGGAGCCTCCTCCCTGCCGGAGGAGCCGCCCTCTAGCTGCTGCCCACCCAAAGGGAAACATGGGGGTGGGAGGCTCCAGAGGGATCCTTGCACCACGGTGCCAGATATGCTTAAGACGGCCCTGGAGATATCACAGTTTTATAAGAGGTGAGCTGTTATTTTAGAAGTGAATGATCTCAGGTTCCTCTCATCTCTTTCTGACCTTACCTTTTTGCACTTTTCTCTCTCTCTTCATAGGTAATACTGAAAGCAGCTGTCATTTTTCTCCCCGTTGTCCAGAACAATGCACTTGTGTGGATTCAGTAGTTCGCTGCAGTAACAAAGGGTTGCGTTTCCTGCCTAAAGGTGTCCCCAAAGATGTGACAGAACTGTAAGCCATATTTTCATTTACAATAAAGAGTTGGCAATATAAATTAAATTGCTTGGGATGGGCAGCCTTCAGAAGGGCAGTTTTTTAAAAGACTAAACACTGAGGCCCACCAACCAGTGCCAGATTCAAAATAGTGGCTCAGAGTATGGGTATAAATTTCAATATGAGCTACTGAAGTTCAAGTATTTGGGTAGAAAATTATCAAAGTTTGGGATTCGGACTGTTGTTTTGCCTTTCAGTCTCCTCTCCCAAGTTCTTTATAGCATAGTTTTGCATTTTATTTTAAGTGTGGTGGTTACAGATTTTTTTTTTATGCCTCATTAGGAATGAAAGACATCTAGAATGGTGTAATTTTGACAGCTAGGTCTTTTGCTACCTTCTTGTTCTTTCTGAATATATTAGGTGAAATTAACAAGTTAAATATTGAATGTTCTGTGCTGCTTTTTCAGCAGGAAGGGAGCATGTTCACAATTGCCCACTTGAATGAGCTATTGAAAATGTATTCCCAACATAATCATTTGTAGGCTAATTATCCCTGCTGGTTGACATTTTTTAAAAAAGAAGAAGAAAAAGAGAAACATTTGAAAGTAAAATTGGATTATTTACTCTGATGCTAACAAAATGGCTAAAATAATAGGCAATTAGATTAAATTATAAAGTAGATTTGCAGGAGGTAAAGGCAGCTTCTTGTTTGTATCTCATTTTAGAATGTGGTTTTCTGTGGAAAGGCACTAAAAATGGGAAATTGGCAGCCAAGTAGTAGAGGTTTTCCCTGTTAGTTTCTCCATGTGAACATGTTTAGAATTCAAAATGGCTTGAAATATGTGATTTATTGGTTCTGTGGTATGTGAGGTGAGTTAGTGTCTGCAGAATATAGCACTGAAATGTGAGGAATACCTTTTCAACATGTGAACTGCATGAAGTGTCATCTTCACTGCATTGGTGGAAGGCAGAAAATATCAGAGGCTCTGTTGTTTTACTCCTAAGGCTGCCAAGACTAGCTTAGATCACATGGGTGCAACTCAGTTTCGGATTTATGTATAGGCTACGTAGGCTGAAGCATAGGGCCTCTAAATCTAGGGGGCCTCACCAGCCTGCCCACTCCCCAGTGCCGCAGTCTCCCCTCTCCCAAAATTGCAAACCCAATACTTCATGTGAGGGCAGGACAACTTGGGCCTCTAAATCTAGGGGGCCTCCCCAGCCTGCCCTCTCCCCAGTGCCTCAGTCTCTCCTCTTCCAAAATTTCAAACCCAATACTTCATGCAAGGGCAGGGCAACTCAGGCCCAGCAACTATGAGACTCAGGGCTAGCAAGTGGGGCCCAGTTTGAAGAAGTGGGGCCCAACTTTAGTTGTTTTTGTTTTTTGTGGGGCCCCAGTTCACAGCCAAAGTCTGCAAAATCTTATAGATATAAATAAAATCCATATAGATTGCCCTGGTGCAGGGGCCCCCGTAGGAGCAGCCCGGGGGCCCAATTGCTCCAATTGCCTTAAGGTCAGCCCTGATGAGACTGTGCAGGAGTTGGACTGACAAGCTCTGTACCTTCTAGGTCCCTGGTGTCACTATTCAGAGTACAGACTCAAGGACTTGTTATGGAAATGAAGGGGGGTCCACTTATTAGAAATCAGTTTTGTCACCTCTCACCCCCCCAAACCCCGAAACAATGAGCCTAGCCACCTTTTATTCACAGTGGCATAAGCACTACATTACAGCATGGCCATAAACCTGTATGTTCAACCACTGAAATATACACCAAATATTTAGCAGTGGAGATTTATGTTACTGCTTTATGAATGAACACTGTGTTTTATGAATGGACTCTGTATTTTGTGAATTACCTAAGAGCCACCAATAGGGAGCTCAAGAATCTGACCACTAACCAATTGGGTACTACCAAACAGCGACCCCTATTGCTGAAAGCAGATAACCAGCAGGGAACGCTTCAGCTCAGCCTTTGCACTGTTCACTGAACACCCCCTGCTGTGCAGATAATGGAGAAAGCTCATAAATTGTATCCCTTCTGGCATCCTGGCCAACTCTATTACGCTGGTGTAAACCCTGGTGCACCAAAAGCCCAGAAAAGCAGGAAATAAAATCTGCTCATACGTCAGCGACTGATAAGACTTTTCAACCAGTTCTTCCAAAGTCTTCCTAAATTATAAAGCTCCAAAATATAGGCCAAAAGAGAACAGGTCTGGGAAAAGCAAAGTATACAATAGGCACCACCAGTGAAAAGGCCCTGTTCTGGGTAGCTCTTGCCCTGTCATTTGATAGGATGCCCACTTGCCCTCCTTCTTGACATGGAATGCTCTCTATTGGAGTCTTCAGGTCCAGTACAAAGACCATAAGAAGGGAGAACAGGGACCTTGAAGTTCCCAACAGCTGTTAAGTAAGCAAGCACACAGGTCACCTTTGTCACAGTTAGGATGCCTATGACCTGGCCAGGCTTGCACTCAATCTTGTTTTTGTACAATCTTGTTTGTTCTCAAATTATATTATCAACATATACAAGCAGAAAAGTTGTTTTCCTTCATTTGCAAGGAATCATACTAAACAAAGTGGCACTAATAAAGAAAAGTTCCAGGGTGGCAACAGAAAGCAAACTAAAAATACTTTTGCAGTTCATCAAAACTATCCAGCAATATCAAGTTATGATGTGTGATGCTAATTATTTTCCCCAAGAGTTAAATTATAACTAATCAGAGGCAGCTACAGTTGCAAATGGCAACAAAATATCTGTGAAAGGAAGAGGAGCAAGTTTGCTCAAGTGTGCAGGTAGAAATACTGTTTGTAATGAAGTGAGAGCAGTAGTTTACTTGCTCAAATTTACAAATAAGAAAGTTTTGAGAATTTAAATTCTAAATTAAAATTGATTACTTAATTGAGAAGGGGATTGTAACAAAAACACTGGTATCTGGTGGGCAATCTCATCCTTTATTTCCACACTGTGTCTGCAGACCAAATCACCTGTCAGGAGAGTTATGAAATTCAGGTGAGGGTCAGATTCCTTGCCAATCCCAGCAGGTATATAAGAGGACAACCGCCCTGGCCAGGCCTTCGCCCAAATTTTAAATACACGTCATCATCCTTGGCTTCACCCAATTTTGTTTATAACACTCTTCCATTTTCTTCTAGTGTGAAGGTGGGGGATGGGGAAGGGCCTCACAAGTGGAGTAGCCTAGAGCCTCTCTTCATCTAAAACCAGCCCTGGTGCAATTGCTACCGGTGGAATGTCAAAACAACTAATTCTTATTCCAGTTAAACCTAAGGGAAATTTTATTGATTGAATTTCCCATATTATATAAGTTGGGAAGCTGTAGTTTTGGGACACAGTAATCCAACATGTGGCCCGTGGGCTGCATGCAGTCCTTGAGGCCTTTTTTGGTGGCCCTAGGCAGGGAAGAGGAAGCAGCTCCTGGGGCAGTGGCCCTGGGAAGGAGGTGTGAGGGCTGTCATGGAGAGACCAATGAAGATGTTGACCCTAGTGCATGGCAACTGTGAAAAAGATGGATTCCATGGTAAGGATCATTAGGAAAGGGACTGAAATGAAACTGTCAACATCACAATGCAGTTATATAAATGAAGCTAAGTGTTTGAAGATTCAAGACAAACTAAAGAAAGTATTCCTTCACATAGCACATAGTTAAACTATGCAATTCAACCCCACAAGATGTAGGAATGGCCACCAGCTTGGATGGCTTTAAAAGAGGATTAGACAAACTGATGAAGGATAAGGATATCAGCGGCTGTAGGCCATGATACCTGTGCTCTCTCCACCACTGGAACAAGTTTTATTCTGAACACCAGTTGCTAGGAATGGGCTTGGCGGGGGGTGCTGCTTGCAGGCTTGTCATGAGCACCTGGTTGACCACTGGCAGAGCTCTCCTTATGCTCTTAGAAGTCCTTAAAAGTCATTTGGGTTTTTGAGTCCTAGGGATCAGTACTGTGTGGGGAGGTGGGGGAGTTTGCACACTTTTACTACCATAGAGACCAGTGAATCTAATTTCATTTTCATGTTTTTATTTTCTATATTAGAAAATTGTGCTCAGGAAGTCACTTTTAAATTTAGTTAGTTTATACCCACTTCCTGCATAGAGTCATACTTGTGTTTTAAGATGTCAGAAGGTAATACATGTGTTGACCAGTGAAAGATGCACAAACTCCCAATATGCCTTTGGATGCTTTCCATTTCTGTCCAAAATAACGCACCAACATTCCATTTTCTTTTTTTGAGAGAGACAGGTGTGACTTCCATGATATGTCTCATGAAAGCAATGCTGGAAGTAGTTTTGCTAACAGCATTTGTCACAAAATAAGAAAGGACTGAGCCTCATACTTCATTCTGCAAATGGTACTTGTGCATCTGCTTTCTTATACAGGGTCTGTATCTAATATTCTAGCTCTCTCTCCTCCATCTTAAACTTCAGAGTAGTAACTAATATTGATGTGTGGATAGCATGCTTTTGCCGATAGCTGATGCAGTGTTTTAGAGAGTTTCTCTGGCATCCCATCTGTCTTTCTCTCTGACTGGCTTGATCTGGCATTCTGACATAGTTCCAATAATAAAGGGGAGGATTTATTTAGTAGCATATTAATGAATGCTGTGGAGCCTTGCATTTATAAACTTCCATTTGCCAAGAGAAAATCGCATCCGCTGTGTGACAAACATGTTCAGCTGAAATGCTTTTTATTAAAATGTAATCATGCATGTTTATACATTACATTTTAATAAAAAGCCTGCCATACATCTAACAAGACCTAGTAAATTAGAGCTGTATATAAAGTTCCAGAATATCCATACAACAGGAAATCTTTTACTGCAACAGGTCCTAAATAATGTTACACTGAAATGGATACACAGACAGATGGAAAATTTCATTCTGCAGCAGGTAGAGTTTCACCATAGCAAAATGCTAAAGTAATACTTAAAATAGTACTCTTTCTCCAGCAGTAGTGAACTGAGGGCAGATCTACACCATACATTTAAAGCACATGCAATGCATATTTAAAGCACATTACTTCCCCCCAAAGTGGGGAATGTAGTTTCACCCTCTCAGAGCAGTTGCAAGATGCAGTTCCCATGATTCTTTGGGAGAAGCCATATGCTTCAAATTTATGCTGAATATGCTTTAAATGAATGTTGTGGATCAGCTGCCTATCCCCCCAATGAATCTGAGTACCCAGGGCAATGTAGAAACACATCACATTTTTTCCTATAGATTCACATGCTGAAATTCTGTATCCTAGAGCATACTTCTAGGTCTAGTTGAATTCCCAGAGGAAAAATATGTTACTGTACAGCTAGATTTGCTTTCAAGTTTGGTATCAAGGAATCTAGAAATGTAGGTTGTTTAAAACTTTGTAAATTAATAACAAAACTTTAAACTTGGCCCAGTGCAGTTCTTTTAATAGAGATGTTGCATGCTGGTGGAAAGTTGCACCACTCACCAGCCTAGCTGTTGTATGCTATACCTGCTGCAGTTTCTGGTCAACCTTAAGGGCAACTTCACATAAAGTGCATTGTAGTTGTCCATTCTTGCAGTTCTCAATGCCCGAGTCAGGGTTGTCAGTGCCTGAACAGGCCACTGAGTGATATCCCAGACCCAGAAACCACTTGCCCACAAGGCTTCTAATTTGCTGGGGTTCATCCTAAATACTATCCTAGGACTTATACAACCAGATATGACTCAAATGTTGTACAGAAATAGCATTGGGTGGTAGCATAGTGGCGACACCATTCTCCAAATACCCTAAAGCAGCCTTTCTCGACCTTAGGCATCAAGATGTTGTTGGACTACAACTCCCATCATCCCTAGCTAGCAGGACCAGTGGTTAGGGATTATGGGAATTGTAGCCGAACATCATCTGTGGAACCCAAGATTAAGATTAAGAAACGACTTCACATAGATGTTCAACCAGTTCACATATATGTTAAACAGCATTGGGTACAACCCACAACATAACTGCCAGGGGCCTTGGAAATGCCACTCTCTGAAATTGGTCCCAGAGATAGGGGTGGCAGCACTGAAGCACATTGCCTCCAACACCCAATCTACCAAGTTGGTCTAGAAGGATACCATGTCCAATGGTATAACATGTAAAGGAGTGAGTAGTCGCAACAACGTCAGGCTTCTCCTGTCCTTTTCTCAATAAAAGTAATCCAAAAAAGTTCTTGTGAGATGCAGCATAGCTTCAGCAATGGATGGCAGGAGAAAGATGGGCATGACTGGGGATGACAACAATGCCTTTGACTACTGTGAACTTAGCTGTACCGTCACAATCCTATATGCTGTGTAGTAATTTGTAAGCATGTAACAGTTTTCCCCCTTTTCATCCAAATCTTTTTTTGAAATGTTTTATCTCTTTATTCATAGCGACTTAATTCAAACCACAAGCCAAAAGTACTTAGATGCGTTAAGAATAGATAGCTAATGTGTTAAAAATCCAAATCCAAATTTGTATATTCCTATCTTAATCATGAACTGAAACTGCTACCCTCACTCCTGAGTTTAGAACATTGATCAGTTTGGGAGAGGATAGTTGGCCCACATATCATATGACTTGATGCACAGTTAAATGTGTTATTTGTAAGTCACCCAGAGAACTTTATGTTATCAGGCAGCATTCAAAAGTCCTGAACAAATTAAACAAAAAATAAAATGAATTGTCACCGTTGTAAAATACTTTATTGGAATTGACAGTTGGCAATGTCAAAGATGTTTTGGTTGGTTAGGTACATGAGTCAATATCATATTGGAAACACTTTTTTTGCATTTGTCTGGCAAGGAATTTCTATTAATATCACCATTTCTCTCCACTCCATAGTAGACATCCCATAGTGCAGTTTTCTATCTCCAGTTCTCTCACTTCACCACATCTCTAAGTTACTCTTCTTTATTTCACTGCTGCCTAATTACACATCTCTCTCTTTACCTTCATCTCTTGTTGTTGTTGTTTAGTCGTTTAGTCGTGTCCGACTCTTCGTGACCCCATGGACCAGAGCACGCCAGGCACTTCTGTCTTCCACTGCCTCCCGCAGTTTGGTCAAACTCATGCTGGTAGCTTCGAGAACACTGTCCAACCATCTCGTCCTCTGTCGTCCCCTTCTCCTACTGCCCTCAATCTTTCCCAACATCAGGGTCTTTTCCAGGGAGTCTTCTCTTCTCATGAGGTGGCCAAAGTATTGGAGCCTCAGCTTCAGGATCTGTCCTTCCAGTGAGCACTCAGGGCTGATTTCCTTAAGAATGGATAGGTTTATTCTTCTTGCAGTCCATGAGACTCTCAAGAGTCTCCTCCAGCACCATAATTCAAAAGCTTCAATTCTTCAGCGATCAGCCTTCTTTATGGTCCAGCTCTCACTTCCATACATCCCTTCATCTCTTAGCTACTCTCTTTTTCACACTTAGCATGTTTCCCCGAACCCAATCTGAACAACAGAATAAGAGTCTTTCTGGATCCAACCCATCTAGTCTAGCATATTATTTCATGCAGTGGCTATCCAGAAGTATCTAGGGAGCTTACGGGGCATAAAGCCACATTGTTTATCCCCAGTATTTAGTATTCGTAATATATTATCCTGAGCATGGATGTTGCTGTTAGATATCCTGGCTGATAGCAGCTCTAAAAATACATCTAACTCTTTAAAAAAATATACTCTAGCGGACATCATAATTTCTTACGATAGTTAAATCCCATACATCATGTATTTATTGTGTTATGAAATGCTTTCTGGCTTTTTTGTTGTTGTTGTTGCTAAGACTCAAAGTTCTGGTATTATGAAAAGAGTAAAAAAATTATCTTTTCCCACTTTGTAATTTTATGTTGACATTTTTTTGTCCCTCACAGAGGTGGGAAAGCTGTGGCCTTCCATACATTACTGGACTCCAACTCCCATCAGCCCCCAGTTAGCATGGCCAACAATCAGGAATGATGGAATTGTAGTCCAACAAGATCTGGAGGGCCGCAGATCTCCTACCCCTGTCCAAAGCAGTAGTCTAAGCTAAGTCTGTAATCACCATATTAACTTTTGTTTTGGGAAAGACTGTAGACACTGTAGACACGATCACTTTTCCATGACTGTTCAATATACTATGTTATATGGGATGGACTCCATGTAATCTTATAGGATGCTTCACCAATGCCTGATACAGAATTCAGGCAGTTTGCTTCAGCAGTGTTTTATATATAGTGACAACTTCCAGAAAGTCATAATATTATTATTATTATCATTATTATTATTATCATTATTATTATTATTATTAAGAAAGGCTGCTTTGCTTGTCTGCCTGTTGTGGGAAAAACCATGATTTGCTCTTTTGTGCTCATAGTTTTCTCAACAACCAAATGCATATGCTACTAGGGATGCAGGAATGTGCTTTAACGAAGGGTGGGGGCAGGACTCTGTTTTGCTGCAGTTCACAGTAATGAAGAATAACTCTCTGTTTTTGCCACTGCATTTCTTTTGAATCCTTTTTGCATCCATATAGTTAGGTCTGGCACATTCAGAAGAGAAAACTGAGCAGCTTACATCATTACTAGAAACTGAGTGTTGATTGATGCTGCAGTATTCTGTCATTACTGCTGATGAAAGTCATAAGTGTGAAGCTGAATGGATGCTAGAGAAATCAGTTTGTAGATTTAGAGACCTGTACTGTCTGGATAATAGCTGCTATTTATATACTACCTGTTAATTTGAAATAGAAAGAATTTTCCCTTTAACATCAATGGCAACCAAGCAATTCAACAGAAATCTTGCATGGCCCTGTACTGGTTTCCATTAAAATAAAACTGCACCTCACATAGCACACTGTGGTTGAAAAACTTTTTCATTATAGTGTTTTTATTGTTCTCTCAAATGATTATCTATTTCAGCAGTGAGCAACCTTTTTCAGCCGTGGGCCGGTCCATCGTCCCTCAGACCTTGTGGGGGACCGGACTATATTTTTTTGGAGGGGGGGGTGAACAAATCCCTATGCCCCACAAATAACCCAGAGATGCATTTTAAATAAAATGACACATTCTACTCATGTAAAAACACGCTGATTCCCGGACCATCCGCGGGCCAGATTGAGAAGGCAATTGGGCCGCATCCGGCCCCTGGGCCTTAGGTTGCCTACCCCTGATCTATTTTAATGGTCACTGCATTAAAATATGTAAGCTGCATTTCAAATCCCGAACAGCAGTATCAAATGGTCAGCTCTATCAAACGATGCATAGAGTAATGAAATTCTCACAGGTTTCAGAAAATTGGCTTCACAATAAGCAAATTGGCACTGGAATCCCTGTTTCTCCTGAGGTTGCTGTACACTTGCTGTATGCAATTATTTCAAAAATAACAAATTAATTTAGATTGATGAAATTGGAACTTTTACCCAAATGTGTGTAAATTTCAGTGGCTCAGTTTGCATGTCACAGTAAGCAAGACAAAATATTATTTAGGCAATATACTGTATAATCTAAAGGTGTGCTGAACTAGGTCAGGGGAGAGTTTCACGAACATTTTTGTTCTTCTCAAAAAAGCACCTCTCTAATTTGCAATTACCTTTTAAGGGCACTCAGAAGGACGTTTTCAGCTGGTGAAAAGAGGACAAGTCCCCTTTGCCTTGGCAACTAAACTAGCGTTCCCTGTTTTTCTGTGCTGCACTTTGGCAATGAAACCTTCTCAGTGCCATGTGGCAAATTAGGAACTGTTGGAATGCACACCTGACTGCAGATCTGCATTATACTGCTCTCAATGGGAAGCATGATTTAATGCACTTTCCAGTGTGCATTCTGGCATAACTAAGAGCTATATCATAGCTTCAGAATAAGGCAGTGCCCTCAGTGATGCCAACACATAGCCGTATCTGATTGGCTCTGAGACATCGTTACTCATTGAATGGTCCTAATTTGCTGTGGTCATGAAGGGAAAAGAAACCCTATTAAAATTTTAAAGTGCTGCTGAAGGTGCAGTAGATCAGTTATGAACAAGCTTGAAAAGAGCAAAGTGAAAAGGTTTGGGGCATCATTCTTACACCCTTCAAAAACATACAATTCCCTTAAATGTGTTGGAGGGCAAAAATTTGGCACTGCCAGATCATGTGTATAATCACATGAAAAATGTAATTGCCTGTTCCTACTTATGTTTTCGAGGCACCCATTTACAATAATTTATTTTGTAAAATCTAAATACAGATTTAATAATATCTGACTTTGCATTTAAATCTTAAATATTGCTGCCTCAGTTATTATCAGTCATTGTGTATTCATTTTACATTTTTACTAAGCAGTTAAAGTAAATGGTTGTATGGATTAACACAGCTAGACTGAGTCAGCTTCTGATGTGTTATTGAAATATTGCCTGCATGAGCAGTTTGCAGTCAGAGGGCAGAAATAATTCTAATGAGGTCAATTTGCATTTGGAGTTCTTTTTAGTAGCTTTAATTAAGCACAACCTTATAGCAAGGACGTAAGTGATCCTCCCTCTTCTTTGTTAATGTGCTCTCTAGAAGAGGTAAATGAGTTTATTTCAGGTTTCTGGAAAAGATTATTCTTGTATTCACTAATTTTCTTTTTAAAAAAGGAAGCAGTAGTATTTTCCTGTAAGCTCACTGATTTACAAAAGAGGAAAAGGGATATTCAAGCAAGCTACTCTATCAATACATCTAATATTTACTTACTCCAGTATTTACTTACTCCAGTATTACTCCTTGTACCCTTTCTTTTAGAGCTACACTCTTTTACTTTACTTTCAAATCCTTTTACAAACTAAATGGGGGGGGAGCTAGCAAACTGCGACGTTTAGTACATATAAACTGGTGGGGTTTCTGAGGAACTAACTCCACCACTGCCTATTAGAATAGGGATTCCCAAACTGTGGTCCCTTGACCACCAGTCATCCACAAGCTTCATTCAGTGTCTGTGGCATGTCTGTAGCTTTCCATTGCATTGGAAGTTAGCGCTGATTTTAAAATATGTATGGTATTTATTGCTTCTTTTATTTCTTATATTGTATTTTATTGAATTACGATTTAAATTCTATGGAATCACAATTGCTACACTAGACAGAAAAATAATTTGGTCTTCCAAGACCCTCAGCAAATTTCAGGTAGTCCGTGGTAGCAAAGATTTGACGCTACTGCATTAAAGGATTGGGTTACAATGAACTACAGTGGTACCGCTACTTATGTTCACCTCCGGTTATGTACCCTTTGGGATATGTACGCAGCTAGCCTGGAAGTATTTTTCCGGGTTTCGTCGTGCTCGCATGTGCAGAAGCGTTCTATGCACTGCACGCATGTGCAGAAGCAGCACCTCCAGATACACACACCTCAGGATCTGACCGGAGCTCTGAAATGGATCCTGTGCGCAACCGGAGGCACCACTGTACTTCCATTACTTACTATAAGCTCAGCTTTGAACCTAGGCATTTTAGATTTCTCCTTTTCTCCTGAGCTTCCTGGTAGCCCAGTAAGAATTGCCTAATTATTGGGTTGTATCTTTCCCCAAATTACATGTCACAAGTTTGTTTCCCCAACAAAACATATACTGGCACTGCTCTCTAAAATAATTTTTATTGATTTTCCAACACAAATATACAATCTTATCGAAATTTCCACAAATTTAGTTCTTTTTGGACTTCCTTCGGCTTCTCTGACAATCATCCC